TTATCTGGTTGTCAGCTAGCTATTGGGGGGTGGGGGTGGCGATACCAGAGAGTATGTACATATGCCGAGGCCTTGGTGACTGGTGGTATGATTACCTGACAGAGGGAAGCCTGCAAGTATTTGATGTCTCAGAGACTCAGCCTCTGCCCAGCACGACTGGTTGGAGGGTTTTTGTGGTTTTTTTGCCGTTGTCATGATTTAAGAGTGTTGTTTTTTTGCCGTTGTCATGATTTAAGAGTGATTCCTGCATAGCAAAAACACTTTATTTCTTGAATGATTGAATAAAGGCAGAAGTGGTTTTTTAATCTGCTGTGTCAGGAGTATTTGCTGAGAGTCTGCTTACACCCTCGAAGGGAACCCAGAAGCAAAAAGCCTCAACAAAGGACCAGGACCCGGTGAGAACCCCAAGGCCCCCAGGTGACGGTGAGTTCGCCTCCTGAGAACGGTAGAGGGACTGTCCTTGGTCTAGACGGAGGAACTCCTTGGTTCCTCCTCCTGTTGCAAGAAGTTGGTCAGTTTATTGCCCAGTCTTTAAGACTTAATTAGAAGTTCTTCCTCAGTTACTGTCACTGTCAGAGATTAGGCACATGGCAACTGGAAAGAGGACATTTTCAGTACTAGTACCCATTTATGATATACACTTAAGCGGGTTCATGAGGTGGTTACACTCACTACATTTTAGCACCAGTTAAGACTTTTTAAAAAGTTTTTTAGGGCTACTTTTATTTTAATCTGACACGTGTTACCGAAACTCCTCTAAGGATGGTTCCGAGAGCCCAACTCTGTCTTATGTATGGCAGTGGGCGTGCTTTTTTTATACGAAAACAGATACATACGCAGATTCACACAAGTTCCTTAGTTACAATGGTAAATAGAAAGCAATCAGCATGAAAAGTAATAAATTCAACAGACAAGGGGACAACACAGAAGGATGTCGCTTATACTTATCTGAGGTCCACATTGAGAAGAAATCTCCTCAGTAGATGAAAGGGGGAAACTTAAGTATCAGCGGGTGGGATTCTAAAGCACACGAAATGGTCCTGCCAGTCCTGTGCGGGTTCTCGGGTCACGACTCCCAATAACGCAGTAAGAATCACCTGCGGCACTTAAGTTGCAAGGTGAGAGAAAGATGGGTTAACCAGAGAAACAAAGGCTGTGTTTCTCTTTTTAAAACCTAGTTTTTGGGTTTGGCTTAAGGCCAATAAACCCCTAGAATCCGTCCCCTTTACTATCCTATAGTTTAGAGAATTGTGACGTCCTACCTAAGGGGAAGGGGCGATATTCAAATGCTCTATCCTAACTTCAAAGGGGGCCATGTGGCCAGGTGTCAAAGTCATGTCTCCATGGCAACTTTTGACTTGCAGAGATGTGCCTGGTCCAGGAAAGCAATAAAGGATGTGTTCTTTGTGATTCCAAACCAGATAGGAAGATGGGCTACGCGTTTTCCCACAGATCAGCAATGGTGGGGAAACCTGTTGTTCTTCCAAGTTTCCAAACTGAGCATAATGGTGTTTGTCTTCTTTGTCCTGAGGCACGCTGGGAAGGTGCAGGGAAGCACGTGTTCTTTAGCACAGGCAACACAAGCCTTGCTTATCCAGATGCAAGCATGAGATGCAAAGCAAGCCATACAAACACAGCAATCCCCTTATCCCATACGCACAAATGTAAAGACATTCAACAGACATGTAGCATTAGCACAGTACAAACAATGCAGTTACAAGCACACGTGGTTACACACGCCCCAAACCCTGCCCTCTTCAATCTCCACCTCCAAAATCTCCAGTTATTTTCCAACCCAGACCTGGCAACCCTACCTAGCAATGTTAAATACCATACGATTCATATAAATTATTATTCAGGAAATGGTAACACACCATACTCAAAATGCCCACTATTTCCCTTCCTCCATATCTTTATCTAGACAGCTGCTGGTTTTTTAGAAGAGTGTAGAAAACAGAGAGCTACATATCTCTGTTCCTCTCTCCTCCAGTATTTAACGCTGAAATAGCACCCCTGGTTAAAAAGTCAGTATTTCTTTAATGCTAATATGGAGAAGATTGAGAAAGAAAGAGAATTAGAACCAACCATGTATGCACCTTCAGTGGCTTCAGCTTTCTGTTAATACATTGCCAGGCTATGGGATCTGACAGTGCATCTTCTTATCACCATCTTTTAATGCTGGGAGGGAAAGCTATCCACATGTATGGCCTCTGTGTTATGCTAATGCAGTCTTAAAACATTACATTATGCCAACATTGAAGACATATAATGTCGAATCATGATGTGAGAGTTCTCCACCTAATGATGAAATGGTGTAACCTAACTAAACAAAGGTCAGTGGAATTGCATGTGTAGAATATGCTACAACATTGATTCAGCTGAACAAACAGTTCTGTTGTAATGAACTAGCATGTTGATTTAAGCAGGTGCTGCTGAAGTAGCACCTGATACAGAGATATATATGTGTGTTATAGAAAGCTGTGTACATGTTTAGCCATTGGCCAGATAGTTCTCACAGATCACTTGCAGCTGTCTGGAGGAGAGAAGGCTAGAGATCTCCAAGCTGACAACACCGTCTGTTCAGCACTACACTCACAGTTCCAATGAATAATCCAGCAACCAGTGTACGTGCGGTCCCAGATGTTAGATCGGGGTCCCAGATGTTAGGCTCGGGATCCAGTGATAGAAGATGCATATGTTGATAGTGTATGTAAACCAGCAATTCCCAGTCTAGAAAGCGTTCTACAGGCAGAAGCTGGTTTTGTACACAGCATGCCCTATTAGATTGTGGCAATAGTGTTTTGCAAATAATTGAAGTGTGATTTCTGTTTGACTAAAAAACTTCAGCAAACTTTGATGCATGGAAACTGTAGGTTCAGAGCTTAGATTGTTGACCGAAGACTTCCAGCCTTATCAGCCCCTCTGCCTCTTACAATGGCATGACAAACAAAGTCAGGAGAGCTTTTTCTATCACTGTGTTTTCATTCTACTAACAGCTCCCATTTTGTTTGTTCCATGTCTGTTGAAGGCACAGAAAATCTACCAGAATCACTGTTGGTAATCGTAGAAAAGAGCAAGAGTCCAGTAGCACCTTAAAGACTAACAAAATTTGTGGCAGGGTATGAGCTTTTGTGAGTCACTGCTCACTTTTTCAGATACAGCCCATGTGCTGGTAATCCTAGTTATTATACCTGTTGCATTGCATTAGCTAGTTAGCAAGAGTGCTCAAGGCTTGCAATGCAACAGAGCTCATCTGGTTAGTGTGTGCTGTCCAGAAAACAAAGTTACACATGGAGCCTTTTATCTTTGCAAAACTAAAATGAGTCCTTTTATTTAAGGAACTCCATTCTAGACAGGGTAGAGTAGAGACAGTCTAGATTAGAAACCTAACTAGCTATGATGGGTGGAGATACAGGAGCCATGTCCTGCTTTTATGCTACCAAGATGGAGAAGTCTGGCAGAGTGCGAAGAGAGTGTGAGGCGGAAGGTTTCCCTAAGAGTAGCAATCTACACATCAAAGAGATATCATCAGAGGAGAGAAGAAAAGGATGCTCAGTGTCCTAGCCTATCTATCTCTCTGACTCTCTTGTAGTCCTTCTTTGTAGTCTGAGGCTAAGAAACAGTGCTAAGTCCATCACTTCCAACAGTACCTAGGCATCAATGCTTCAGGGAACAATCCAGCAAGCATTTCTGTTCAATGTCAACTGTAAGGATGGTTGGATGCAAAGGAGGGTATGAATCTTCAGTAGCTGTATGGAAGAGAAGAGAGGGTTTCTATCAGCCACAGTTCTTATTCAGTAAGACAAACTACAGCTGTCAACACTCTCCTGTTATTAGATTCAGAAATGCTGTCCTGCTTTGCAACAAATTACTCTTGTATCTGTCATAATTAGTTTTGCTTATGATGTAAAACTATCCCTTTGTCCTTACGGTGCCTTAAATGGTATAAAGAATGAGTCTGAACCAGCTCAAATATAAAAGTGGCCCATTCTAAGGAAGAGCAACTTTGGAACGAGATGATCTCTGAAGTTTGTTGAAACAAATAATTAACTATTCCCCTGACTGCTGCTTTTCTACAACAATTTTTTTCTCCCCAGGAGGTGTACATCTGAACCAGCTCAAATATAAAAGTGGCCCATTCTAAGGAAGAGCAACTTTGGAACGAGATGATCTCTGAAGTTTGTTGAAACAAATAATTAACCATTCCCCTGACTGCTGCTTTTCTACAATTTTTTTCTCCCCAGGAGGTGTACACACTGGATTCAAAGTGTGTGTGAGACAGTAAATGCATAGTTGCAGTGGGTGAGGTAGAGTTGCCAGGTCCCTTGGGGGATGAAGGAGACTTACCTGGACAAAGAGACTGGCCCAGGCCTTGGTGTCAGTGTCATACAGGAAGTGGCATCATCACACCAGCGATGTCTAGGCAACACTCTGGTATTTGGGCAGCTTCCACCAGAGTTTTTGCCCCAAAGCCAGAGTGTCACCTGAACATCACTGGTATGATAATGTCAATTCCTGTGCAATGCCGGCAACAAGGCCTGGGCCTTTCTCTTTCAGTATCTCTCTGGCATCGGAAACAAGGAATCCCTGCCTTCACGGGGGACTAGCAACCCTAAGGCAAGGGAGGGATTAACCACGACTCTCACTTATCCACTCCAGATCACCTTGTTTCCAAAACGTTTCTGAGAAGGCACTATTGGACTTTTGTTGCACTCATTTTAACGTAATGTGTAGCTTGGCCCTAGTGAACATTTGATCAGAATGAGAATGCAAAGCAACCTGGTGCTGTTCCAGGCAGTCAGAAATAGAATATTGTGATTTCAATTTAACTTTTTAAAATCTAGAATGTGATGGTTAATAAAGCCTAACATTTTTCATCTTCTCACTTGCACGTATTAATATATATATATAATACTTATTGATATTTTTCTGTTTTAACATCCCTGAAAATTAGGTGACCTTTACAACAACTGCAGTGTTCAGCTCATAACACATAGAAAATGGATGAAGCCATAGAACTTTCACCCGATGGAAACTCCTTGATCAAAGCTGTCTATCACAGCAGACTTCGTCTCACAAGATTGCTGCTAGAAGGTGGGGCCTACATCAATGAAAGCAATGACCGCGGTGAAACCCCTTTGATGATTGCTTGTAAGACAAAACATGTGGACTGTCAGAGTGTTAGCAAAGTAAAAATGGTGAAATACCTTCTGGAAAATAAGGCAGATCCAAACATTCAGGATAAAACCGGAAAGTCAGCCTTGATGCATGCCTGCTTGCATAAAGCTGGCCCTGAAGTTATTTCTTTACTGCTTAAAAATGGAGCGGACTTAAGTTTACAAGACCATTCTGGTAATTCAGTTCTTGTTTACTCAGTGAATTCAGAGGATAAGGAAAGCCTCAAAGTTATTCTAGATGCTTGCAAAGCAAAAGGGAAAGAAGTCATTATTATTACAAAGGATAAATCTCCATCTGGAAGGCAGACCACTAGACAGTATTTAAATGTGCCGCCTCCTGACAACGAGGAATGTCTGTCTCCAAGTTCTTGCACTTCTCCATCAGATGTAGAAGTCAAAACCTCTCCATCTCCACAAGAAAACTCAAAAGGTACAGAAAAAGGTCTGTTCAACTTCAAAGAGCCTCATCATTCTGGAAGAAAGGAGGATATACCTAAGCCACCCTCTCCGTCCAGAAAACCTCAGATGCAGAACGTGTGTTCTGAGCCCTGGGTGAAGGCTCCGTCTTCAATTTTTGACCAGAACAGAGTCTCCTCTTTACAAGAAGACCTGCAGGATATAACTCCAGAGGAAGAATTATGTCTAAAAATCAATAATCTTGCCCTATCTAAGAGATTTATCACCAGACATCACAGCATTGATATAAAAGATACCCTTAACTTCTTGAAGAGCTTTGAGCAAACTGCCTCCAGAAAAATGTCATGTGATGAGATAAATTCTCATGCGCTTTTTGGTGAGGTAAACCACATTCAAAGTGAAATTCCTGTAGATCAAAATTCAGATTCAGCCCCGATGAGCTTCGTATCCACGCTGAAGAACATTGTTCAGAGAAGAAACCTAGGGGCAAATCATTACAGCTCTGATTCCCAGTTAACTAGATTAGGACCTCCCGTAGAAGATAGTAAATCACTTCTAGGGAAGAAAAAGCTTCTCTCCCCTTCTTCATCTTTGTCATCAAGTTCCAGGGAGCTGATAGAAAACATGCCTCCAAATCTACTGAGCAGGAAAAATCATGCTGTGTTAGAGAGGCGTGGGTCAGGAGCCCTCGTTTCAGATCATATGGCTCAGGTTAGACCAGGCTTTCTACCCCCTTTAAATGTGAATCCTCATCCTCTGATCTCTGATAGCTACAGGTTGTCTTCAGTGGTTCCTTATGGGCAGAAAACCCTCATCCCAACAGCACCCGCGTATCCCAGGGATCTCAAAAATAAGACTCTGTTGACAAGGAGGCAGTCATTACAAACAGAGCAGATCAAGCAACTGGTGAACTTTTAACAGATTAGCATGCAACAGTGGTATATAACTTGTACATATGAACAATATTTTTCAATATGAGCGTTGGCTGCACCAAGTTCTTGGTAATGCAGCATATCCATTTCTGTAACTCATTATGAAACAATCTGCCTTGAGATTCAGTGGCAAAAGAAGATATGCTACAGATTACATATTTACATATTGCTGCTCTTATCATACACTTTAAAATAAGAATTATAAAACTGTGGATATATTCCTCCATAGTGTGCACCCAAAGCATACAGAATACAAACTAGATGTTTTCCCCTCAGTCAAGTTCTAGGCCCAGCCTTCTCTAATCCATCTAACTGGTGCCTTATGGGAAGCATGTGACCCCATTTGAACAGTTAAATGGGCTAAATTCTATGCAGTATAGCAGAAACTGTACAATGGCTATTTCCCATTATAGCCCTTAACACTAATGGATTTTAATGGCTTCTTAGTATTGCATTGTGGCCAGAGTATATTATCTTGTTCTTAAATTAATTTAACATTTTTAAAGGTTGCATACAGTTAAGGAGAGGTAAATGAACAAGCTGGAAAATGTCGATAAATCTATCTACAAGTGAAAAGTAGAATTTGCAAAAATAATACCAAAAGCGTAGTATTCTGAAAAAGAGCTACAATTTGATCCAATTATATAACAGATGGGAGAGCTGGCTTAATATCTATACACATTTCTCCAGTGTTTGTAAAGCTAATATTTTCTTCCTGTTTAGTTTTCCATGTCTGTCTTCTCCCATGGAGATGGTGAAAATCAGCCAGCATAGTTTTGTTGCATTAAACACATACAGATTCTCAATTTAAAGTATTTAATAGCATCCAAATGGTTTTTATATGGCTACATGCATAAGACCTAATGCTATATGTGAGAACTGTTTGTTGCAAATGCTTGATACGCTGTATTCTTGTCACTTTGGTCTAATGGTTAAGAGTGTGGACTCTGATCTGAGAGAACCGGGTTTGATTTCCCACTCTTCCACATGCAGCTGCTGGTGTGACCTTGGGTCAGTCATAAGTTCTTTCAGAGCTGTTCTCTCACAGGCTGTTCTCTCAGAGCTCTCTCAACCCCACCTACCTCACAGGGTGTCTGTTGTGGGGAGGGTTAGGGATTGTAAACCACTCTGAGACTCCTTCAGGTAGTGAAGGGCGGGGTATAAATCCAATCTCCTCCTCCTTCTTTTCTTCTACTGTCAGTGAAGCCTCCCCATAAATTGCAGGTGGTCAGGGAAGAGGGAGTAAGACAGACATGATAAAAGTGTGTATGTGTGGAGGGAGTAAGTCTCACTTTCTCTGGCTGCAAACTTCATTCTGTCTGCCTTCCAGTAATAGTACCAGGGTGTGGCTGGAGGACACAGCTTGCAGCAACCTTGCTGACGCTAGGCAGATCTCTGTCTGGGTGGGAGACCTCCTGAAAATCTCATATATGACACTTTGGGTTCTATGATGGAAGAAGTATGAGAGAGAAATATAATGATATTTTAAATAAACACGCGAGTTCAGCGCTCCTTCATAAAGATTTCTGTTTGCACAGAGGCTTTAGCCATGTAGTTTCTCTTCTGGGGAGGAAAAAGCATGCAAGTTGAAGCCTCAGTGTTAATCAGGCGTTGCCATAGAGTGCCCAAATTGTGGTGTGTGGTGAGAAGGTGGCAGTGAGGTGTGCCCATCCACTGCTGCACAGTGCAAAGGGTGACCATTGCCACCATATTGACTGGAGCCAACATGGGTGAAGAAGCATGTACACATCTGGCTTGGGTCCTGAGGTGAAAGGTGAGTATATAAGGGCACTTCCCAATGCACATCTTCCTTGCTAGAACAGATGGTTTTACAGTGTGTCTTTCAAACCATACAGGCATTTGCCCTGAAAAAACACCTTGTTATTTACTTGCGTTTTATGACATTTAAGTACTGTAAATGTCAGAATTCACTTTTTGTACTGGAACTGTTCCAGTACAAAACAGTGAATCACATATCTGTACTTTCTAGTTTTTGGCACTATGTGGGGCATTAAAAAAGTTTGATGCTTATTAATTTTTCAGTCATTTCTGATCTAATCCCAACAGTTAACAAAGAAACCATGCTTTTCTCGCTGGGAATCCTGGATGTTATGCCTGCTACTGGCATCGGAAACAAGATTTTCTGCACACAGCATTATGTTGTTTGTAACATTTTTGGTACCCTCATTTATGCCAAGATGACAGATTCATATTAAGCAGTTATACTAGATAATATTTTTATTATATTCTTTGCCGCTTCAGTATGCAGCTTCCCAATTTAGTCTCACTTTCAACTCTTGTTCTTCAAGAGCTGTCTGTCCTCTGCCAGTATTCATGCTATGTTAAGTCCCTTCCTTTGATTCCTCACTCTGTCTTCTTATGAGTAAAGACAATTGTTAAAGTTATCTTCCTGGGAATATCATTTTGTGCCTCCACATCTACCCGTCTTAATGTGCAAGGAAGAGTCATCACCAAATATCCACTACTGTCATATCAAGGGAAGTCAGTAAGAATTCAGCTCTTTACTAAGAACTGATATATACTCATCCAATTAAATGTTAGTTTGAGACTTCATTCCATTTTTCAATAATGTGTACTCAGCAAAGACCAAAACAATAAAAAGCATAACAAGGGTATTGTTTGCTAATAGAAATAGATGCATAGATGCTGCATGTACTTTAAGTGATATTATTTTTTTTCTAATGCCATACACTGTGCATTCTGTAGTTCAAAAGAAAAATAATCAGTTCTATTAAGCTGTGGTGGGTACTATAATGCTCCTCAATTTAAAACCAGTATTTTGTAAAACGGGAAGATTCTTAAATGCTAGTGTATTGTGAAATGAGTGCATTTATTAGCTTTACATCTGTTGATGAACTGTCTGGATTCAAAACAGGTAAAAGAAAGCATTTCTTTAAACAATGCAAACTGATCATGTGGAACTCACAACTGCAAGTTAGAGTGATGGCCACTAATCTATATGGTTTAAAACAGAAATTAGGAGGACAGGTCTATGCCTATTTGCTGTGATGGATAAATGGAACTTCTGTGTTCAGAGACAGAGATCTGAATTATTTATTTGCTTAATTTAGTTATGCATAAACAGAAATTATTTATTTGCTTAATTTAGTTATGCCTTTCTCCCCACTGAGGACTTAGGGCAGTTTAAATTATTCTCCATTTTATCCTCCCAACAATCCTGTGAGGTAAATTATGCTGAGAATTTATGACTGGCCAAAAGTCACCCATGGCAGAGGAGGGATTTGAAACTCAGTCACCCAGATTATAGTCCAACACTAACACTACAGCACACAGTGTGAATACCAGTTAGTGTGGGCCAACAGGGAAAGTTTTTGGTCTCCATATTCTGCTTAAAAGCCTTCCAGAGACAACTGGTTTTCTAATATGGGAAATGGGATGCTGACTTTCATAGCTTTTTGGTCTGATCTAGCTGGACTGTTCTTTCATTCTAAGTTTGCAACTTCACAAAAATGCCATTATTAATGGCAATTTAGCAGCATTGATCAGAATATATAAGAAGTCCTCAGGAGATTAATGGTTTTGCAAATATGAAAACACAGCCTTTTTTACTTATAGTGTAATTGTTCAAGAACTTAACATTTTGCAAAACTGTGGTTAATGTAATACCTTATAGCCTTGGTATAGACCTTCCCTGTGCTCCAGAAGTGCTTCTTTTAAACTATATGGTAGCAATTCCAATTTATTAACATGGTATTGCTACAGCTGGGCTGGCTTTTGCATTACATACCATGGAGATAATGGTTTACTCCCGAAAGAGGGAATGGACTGATAAAGTAAATGGATTACACAAGTTTATCAGGTTTACAGTTTTACAAAAATATAAAAGATGGTAATCATTTGAATGTTTACTGGAAACCTGTGATCCATCATATGAAGTGTAATGATGTAGTGGATTGAGATTCATCTTGTTTAAATAATGTATATTTAAATATGGTTTGTAACTGATTATTGGTTTTAAATAAAAAAGGAATGCTGGTGGTGGGTAGCTAGTGAGTTCAATATGCAGTACTCCCTATTTCATAAAGTGACCAGAAATTAGAAATAATTTTCTGTTGTACACACAAAATATTTTCTAAACAGGGTTATGCAATATCCATTAGTTGTCCAAGGAGTCTGATTTCTTGCAGCAGGAAATGCTACCTAGTAGTCTTGCAAATAAGCCTATAAATAGTAGCTAGACCCCTCCTCCCCAAATTATTAAACTGCTTGTCTGTATATAACCTTATTTGTGGCACATGAATGTCCGGCCTGAAAGGGGGGGGGGGATCAATGCTTGATTTTTACAGATGTTAATCTGCATGGTCACCTAAAGGTAAATTACATACTTCACTGGGATGAGGTTAGTGACTCCTTGCAATAGATATTGTAGTATGACATTAAATTATATAAATTAAAAATAGCTGCCTTTAAAGTGATCTGCTGTGTTAAAATTCAAAATAAACTTTTGACTTACTCAAGGTAAGAAATAGGTTTATTTGTTGTTTTTTTAATGCAGCTTTTAAAAAATTATTATATATATGTTATTCTCACTAGCTTTAGATCTGTATTTGCAAATAAATGTTTCTATTTACTGGCTGTGCCTCATTTTATTTGCTCATATTGAACAATCTGTATTTTGAAGGTCTTTCTTCAACTTAATCTAATTATGATAATTTGATAAAGACTTTGCACAAAGTAATTTCAAAAGCTCAGTGCTAGTAGACGTCAGTATAATGGATCATATTTTATGTAATCTATACATTTAAAATTGTATATTTTAAATTATTTGATGTTAATTGAAATTAGCAACTGTGATCCTTATGTAGGGATGTACTAGAATTTAGCACGTTTGCTGGTTTGATTCAAACGTTGTATTTTTATTTTAAGACGAGGGACAAAACTGTGGCTGCCATTTTTGGGAAGGGATGAAATTGAGGCTGTTGATCATGTTTGATTTATGGACTGACTTCAGTTGGAAAACGCAGAGCCATATCTGTTGTTCACGGGTTAGGGAGTAATTACTTTTTCTAACCTGCAGCTCTTGACAGCTGAAATTGTTATATTAGTGACTCAGAATAGTCTACTGATATTTCTCAATGGATGTTAATTCTTAAGAGGGAGGACCAAGGTAGTTTGAAAGGTATTTTGAAAAGTACTGAAAGGAGGAGGATTCAGTACTTTGGAAAAAATAGCTAATCTCTGCTTTCATTTGTGTAAACGTGGACATTACATTTCAGTCCAGAGGTCTGGCTTTTCAGGTTAGAAAAAGAGGATTAAGGGCTATGATAGTAAAGTACAGAAAATATATAAAAATATAGAATTCTGCCTTAAACAGAAGGATTAAGAATCAGCGAGTTAATATTGTAGCATTTGGGACTGAGGTTGGAAATTGCAGTTAGGAATGCACCTCATTGTACTAGCAAGGAGCAATCCAAAACAGGTGTAGTCAGAAGTAAATCCCATTTTATTCAGTGGGATTTATTTGTAGGAAAGTGTTTTTAGGATTGCAGCCAAATTTACTGAATGAAACTACATACATTTTCTGATTATTTTCATTAAGGAGATGCCAGATGAAGTCTCTTTCAAATGTTTACAACCAGGAGTTTAGGAAGTGGTGTGGGAGCATGCTTACGGTTCATTTAGCAGTCCTGTGCCTTCACTGCTGATTTCCCTCCATTTGGACTGTGCAATGAGCAATTCTCTACACGTGCTGAGGAGGCAACATATGGGCAGAGTTTGGTCATTGGGTTTAAGGTACACTAAATGATTATGTAGATTCAGGTGGGTAGCAGTGTTGGTCTGAAGCAACAGAACAAAGTTTGAGTCCAGTGGCACCTTTAAGACCAACAAAGTTTAATTCTGAGTATAAGCTTTTGTGTGCGTGCATACTTTGTCAGAAACCTTATACTCAGAATTAAACTTTGTTGGTCTTAAAGGTGCCACTGGACTCAAACTTTGTTCTAAAAGATTATGTAGAAGATTGAGAATTACTCTCATTGAATATAGCCCACAATGGAATGAGGCTGTGGGAGGAATTCTTGTAGACTCTGTCTACACAATGCCCAGCCGTTCTTACATTAATATATCTGGGAGATGAAATCCTGGTGTGTGTGTGTGTGTGTGATTCATGCACTTCCTATTTCCTTGGTCTGCTTTAATACAGCTTGGCAGTTCACCAGTTAGGGTTGCCAGCCTCCAGGTAGTAGCTGGAGACCTCCAGCTATTACAACTGATATCCAGGATAAAATGGACACTTTGGAATGTGGACTCTATGGTATTTTACCCCACTGAAGTCCCTCCCCACACCCTGCCCTCCTCATGCTCCACCTCCAAATCTCCAGGTATTTTCAGCCCTGGCCCACCTGGTGAAATGAGATCAGGGCCTTGCGGGATTTATTACAATTCCACAGGGCCTGTAAGACAGAGCTCTTCCACCAGGCTTTTAGTTGAGGCAGCAGGTGTCCCCTCCTTTAATTGGCCTCCTATCAGTGTCCTGGATTTTGAACAACCACCTAGGACCTACTCTATAGTTTCCATCTTACTACTAAGTTATTGATTAGATCTGCATGGTGTTTTGTATTGTTTTTGTTTTAAAATGATTTTAATTGTTATTGGTATATTGTATGAACATTGATGGAACCCACCCTGAGCCTGCTTGTGGGGAGGGTGGAATACAAGCCCAATAAAACAAATATTTCCCTAGCTGGACCTGGGAACCCTGTTACCAGTCTTCACCTCAAATATCCACAGAGTAAATGGGCAATCTCCCAGAAACACAGATTTTTCAAGAGGCTATATTCTGCAAACACTTAGTATACATTTTCATTCCTTATCTGTAAGTATGCAGGAAACCATGCTTTAAAGTAGTAGCTTAATGTGATAGCTTTCGGAAACCAATAGAAAACCTGAACAGTCTAGATCCAGCTCCCTCAAGTAAATTATAATGTTGCCTGAAAGATTAAAAGTTATTATATTAATGTAATATGTGTTTACATAAGTAACTTACTCTTAACAATATAAGAGTATGTGTCAAATATTTGCTGGCAATATTAAAAAGCAGTTTTATTACAGCTAAGGAAAGAGATTATATAACATCAAATCATTTTAGGCCTGGGTGGTTTCCTTTATGATAGTCTCTAGTGCACACAGTCATTGGTAATATAAAACAAGTAAAACCACATCTCCAAGCACAGTACAATTAAAGTAATATATGAAAGTTTTATTACAAAGTAGTTTTATGGAAAGTTGTTAAAGTCCTGTATGTCTATTTTCAAATATCTGTATGATTACAAATAGCTAGGTGAAAGAATAAGGTTAATATTCAGATAAAGGAACGCTATATTTTAAGTGGTTGGATACTTGCATTTGCTGCCTTTAGGTAAACAAAGGGGTTGGACCTGAATGTTAAATGCTAAATGGGAACAAATGCTTGAGAACTATGACTTAAAATAGCCCTTGCTTTCAATGCAATATTAATTTAAGGCAAAGTTGAATGAAAAATGCTAGCTGTGGTTTCATTATAATGCTAAGCTACCCACCTGAGTTAAGCTATATTCATGAATTGCTACAACAACAACAACAAAAAGCATTACCAGGAAGGAGCTGCAATGATGAAGCAAATCACACCAGCGACAGCAATACCAAAAATGAGATTGACTGAAAATAATTTGGAAAATGTGTTTTAGAAGATCTGTTGTACTTCAGCTTGTTTGTTGTTCAGTCGCACAGTCGAGTCCGACTCTTTGCAACCCCATGGACCACATCACGCCAGGCCCTCCTGTCTTCTGCTGTCCTCTGGAGTTTGCTCAATTTCATGTTTGTTGCATCGATAACACTGTCTAACCATCTCATTCTTTGCTGTCCCCTTCTTCTTTGACCTTCAATCTTTCGCAGCATCAGGGTCTTCTCCAGTGAGTGCTCCCGTCTCATTTGGTGGCCAAAGTATCTGAGCTTCAGCTTCAGTATCTGGCCTTCCAGGGAACAGTCAGGGTTGATTTCCTTTAGGATTGACTGATTTGATCTTGCAGTCCAAGGGACTCAAGAGTCTTCTCCAGCACCACAATTCAAAAGCATCTATTCTTTGGCACTCAGCTTTCCTTATGATCCAACCCTCGCAGCCGTACATTACTACTGGGAATACCATCGCTTTGACTATGTGGACTTTTGTTGGTAGGGTGATGACTTTACTTTTTATTATGCTGTTTAGGTTTGCCATAGCTTTCCGTCTGCAGTGACATAATCAGGCACTGGTTTCATCAGATGTCTATCTGCCTACTTGTCAGCTCATACATATGATAAAAGAGTCCTAAAATCCGGCAGAATTGCTCTAGCCTTGTCTTGCTGTTTTTTCTGTACTGTATGAGTATTGCAGCTGTGTCCCCCTTTCTGAGGGGCACAATAATGTCCAAAACATCTTACACAGAATAAGTCTGTTTTATTTTAATATTAAGATGGAGTTTTTGGACTCCTGATGAAACTATTCTAGGATCAAATTATTAAGATGTCAGTCAGTAAATATCAGTATGTTAAGGGAGAATAGAAACAGTCACTGAGAAAATACTGTTTCAAGTTAAATATGAAATACAATAGCACATTGGGGCACCTATATGTACCATGGCACTATCAGCAACATTTTAAAATTAGGATGCCGTATATATGAAGAATTTCAAACTGCAGGCATTTCAAACCGCAGCTAAGAGGGGTATTTTTAATAATATGAAAACCTAAAAGGGGGACAGATATATGTTTAAAGGAAGTCATGTGCCTTTGCAATAACTGTTCTGGTTAAATCTTCAATAGTGCCTTTTCTGTAGGCAATACTATGATGCCACAAGTAACCACTGTCTAATAGGAAAGTCTGTTTTCTTATGGTGGTATTTCCAGTCCTATGGTCTTTCTGAGTTCAGATTTCTGTGGTTCTAAGATATCATAAAAAATTCTAGTTTTATCAAAACAGTTTCTGATGAAGAGTAGATCTTCTACAGAGTAGTCATCATATTTTCCTGTCCAAATGGTCAAGGTGTATCTGTAATTAGAGTGACCAAATCAATTAATTCCATTTAAGAAAATCTACATACAGACTCAAAACAGCCTAAGCAATTAAAATATAAACATTCCAGACTGATATAATTTGTATTTTGCCTTTCCCTAATTTTGCCTTAACTGCATATTTATAGCTGCAAATTTTTAAATATTTGAGGCATATGAAAGCTAAACAAAGTTTACATTAAAAAGCTTACATGTAACTATTCAAACTATTCAAGAAAATTAATCAAATCAAAATCGAGCAGGACCACCTTCTTCCATATGATCCTGTCCATCCTCTCCAGTCATCCTCAGAGGCCATCCTTCAGGTGCCCCCACCATCAGAGACTAAATGGGTGACAACCTGAGAAAGGGCCTTCTCTAAAGTTGCCAGCTCTGGGTGGAAAAATACCTTGGAGGCTTTGGGGGCGGAGTTTAGGGAGGGAGGAGTTGGGCAAAGGAAGGGATTCCTGCAGGGTACTATGCTAGTCCACCCTCCAAAGCAGCCATTTTCTCCAGGGGAACTGATTTCTGTCATCTGAAGATAAGTTGTAACAGCAGATCTCCAGGCTACACCTGGAGGTTGGCAAGCCTAGCCTTCTCAGTGATGGCACCAAAACTTTGGAACTCCCAGGAAGATTCGTCTGTTTCTCCTTCTGCCAGCAGGGGGAAGCTTTTTGAGATTTTTTGGCATACCCCCAATAACTGACCTCCCTAGTTGTGTTGTTGTGTGTGCATGTTTATATGTTTTTATTGATTTTTAAAATATTTTCTATATGCTCTGTTTTAATGTTTTAAATAATTTTAATGTTCTGATGATTGCCACTTTGGGGGTCCTATTTGGGTGGAAGGCAGTTGTTTTAAATAAATAAAAATAAACAAATACGCCAGTTATTTCCAAAACCTTTCTAGTATGGCTTGCGCTACTGGCAGTTAAATGAAATCTGTTTTAAATATCTAAAAGTACACTAAGATGGTTTCGACATGGATACAGGCTTGTATGGTTTTCCTATTGCTGATGCAGCTGTGATAAAGTGCAACAGGAGTTCCTGCAGGCATATTTCCCTGCAGTTTCCCTACCCCAGTCCCCTAGCAGTGGTTCCTCTTCCTCTAGGCCACCAATGGTTTTTGCATTTTTTAATAATTGGCAATTGAACATTGTTGTATCAATATGCTAACAATATGACAGAGGTTCTCTGATTCCCCAGCTTTCTTTCATTCTGCAGATATGCCTTTCCTCTTACATCTCTACAAGGGAAAGGACTAGAAACTTACATTGTACAAGAGAGAGAGAGCTGGAAATTCAGAGAACCTAGTACATATATTGTTAAGATGGTGTATCAACAAAATGATTCTCTAATGCCTTTAAAAAAGAAGCCCCTTGGCTGGTAGAAGAAAATGGCTGCCGCTACAACAGTGTCAGTGAAAGTGGCTGCCATGTAATTAAGAAAATCTATTTTTTTCCCACACAGACAGGAGCTATTTAGGTTCTGCTGTGATTTTCTCAACAAGCCATGGGGGCTCTTGGGGCAACGCCCCCTCCCAAATTTTCCTAGCCACCTCCCCTCCTGGTCCCTCCCTGCCCCTGGGAGCCTGGGACAACCGGCCCATGCCAAGGCACCATCTCCAGCAGGCTGCCAGGCTAGGGCAGGGGCATCCAGCAAGGCCCTGTGCAGATCTTGCAGGATGGTCAAGTTTGCCCTGCGGTGGTCAGTGTGTGGGTGCTGCCAGTCTGGCGGCTTCCCTTCTTGTGGTATTGGCTGTGCACCCCACCTCAGCCCTCTGCACTCATCTCTGCCCCTGGCCAGGCTGGGGCTCCTCAAGGGGGCAGGCCAGGCGCTGCAGCAACTTTGGCGGACAGTACTCAGAGCTAGTGGATGGCACCGTGCACTGTGGTGGGCCAGGATAGGGACGGCCATGGCCGGAGGCTGGCCCAAGGTGGCCTTGCTGGGTAAAGGAGATGCCGGGGTGGGCCATTCTCCAGGACGAAGCGAGAGAGGAGATCTCACTTGCTGTCCTGCCTGCCTCCCCTGGGACGTCTTGAGCACCGCTTAATTAAATCACCCCTAATTTGATTAGTGATACTCTAATTAAGCTCCCTGTTCCCAGTTTTAGCTCCCGTTCCCAGTTTTTGCCCCCCCACGAAGATTAAAATAAATAGCTGTTAACAAATTGGGGACTTGCAAGAAAATATGGGGTACAGAAGATGAAGAATAGGAAGTCCTGCCCCCCCTTCCCTCACTGCAATATTGTCAGGCCACTCAGGTCTAGGTCAGATGAGAAGCTTCCTGTGCACCTAATCCTAACACCCAGAGCAATTGTTCTAATTACTGCTAGGGTTTGGGACAATGAGTGTGCTCAGTTCTTAACAGGCCGTTTGGGAAAGTCTCTCTCTCCTTCATTTAAGAACTAGTATTTTCTACATGGGAGTTTATCCATTTTATTGCCCTACTGATAAGTGTGGGGTCACAGAGTTCATTATTTGATACAGAGAGCATACCTGTTTGATTGTTGTAATAACCACTGAAGTTCAGATACTGACTGGCGCACCAACGCAGCTCTTACAGGGAATGTTATTGGCTGAGTAAGGTGTCTACAAATAGCTGCCATCTCTTGCATCATTACTGAACTGTACCCTACAAAAACAAACAATACAGCATTCAAGAACTCAGTGGACATCCTCAGTGGCATCTCTTGTGTTTTGTTCATTCTTGTATGTTATGATCACAGAATATTAATTCATCAGAAACAGGAGGGATAATAAGCAGTGAAACCCAGCTGAGACCCAGCTGAGCTCTGAGCAGGAGCAGGAGACAGAGGGGTGAGTGGTTTTTTACTTGCTTTCAGCTGAGAGGATTCAGCTGAGGATATTGGTGTGATTGAGTGCCTGGGTGCATTTGAATAGCTGCTGCCAGCACTCTGCTGGGGGAGGCCTCTATTTAAGGAAGCACCTTGCCAGAGGCACGAGCCTCTGGCACGAGCCGAAGGGTGAGCTAAAGGGCTCTTTGCCTGTGGCTCTTAGCCTAGGGACTCTTAGACTAGGGGCGCTGTAAGAAGCCCAAAAAGAGCCAGAAAGACAAGGCCCTAGGCTCTTTGTCTTTCCCGTAAAATAATTTGACTTGATAACAAAACCCACATAAATACCAAGGGTTTAAAAGGGGGATTATATTTATTTATTTTAAAAGAATTATGAAGCCAGAATGCCAGCAGGGGGTTGGGGGCTATCCAGTGTTTTGCACGGAGTGTCACATGTATGACTATCTGCCCACTGGACAGAAGTCTTGGGTGTGTGCTCGGTGCAAGGAGCTCCTGGTTCTCAGGGAACGTGTGTGCTCCCTTGAGGCCAAGGTGGCTGACCTGGAGAAGCAGAGACAGTCAGCTAGGCGCACAGAAAAGACTCTCGGGGACCTGTTAGCTACGTCCCACTCTGGATCTGGCAGCCCCGCTGCTGTCAGGGAGCATGAGGGTCTAGGGGAAACAGGGCACCATGCTGAGGATAAGGGGAATGTGCCCTCAGAAGGGACCTCTTCCCCAGCTGGTGAGCGGCTCTCCTTTTGCACCAAGGAACCATCCCTGAGCAGGGTGGGAGGGGGGCTCTTGGTAGTGGGTGATTCGATCCTTAGGCAGGTAGACAGCTGGGTGGCGAACCCGCGTACTGACCGTATGGTGACTTGCCTGCCTGGTGCGAAGGTAGCGGACATTACGCGTGTTTTAGATAGGCTGGTAGATAGTGTGGATGGGCCATTGGCCTGATCCAACATTGGCATCTCTTATGTTCTTATAAGAGGGAATTGGATAAGCATATGGAGCAGAAGTCCATCAGTGGCTATTAGCCATGAGGTATAGATAGGAACTCACAGGTTGGGGCAGGTGATGCTCTGTATTCTTGGTGCTTGGGGGGAGGGACAGTGGGAGGGCTCCTAGTGTCCTGGCCCCGCTGCTGGACCTCCTGATGGCACCTAGTATTTTTGGCCAGTGTGTGACAGAGTGTTGGACTAGATGGGCCATTGGCCTGATCCAACATTGGCTTATCTTATGTTCTTATGTTTTTATGTTAGGAGGAGGAGGAGTAGATTGGATTTATACCCTGCCCTTCACTACCTGAAGGAGTCTTGGAGCAGCTTACAAACTCCTTTCCCTCCCCCTCCCCACAACAGACACCCTGTGAGGTAGGTGGGGCTGAGAGAGCTCTCCCAAAAACTGCCCTTGAGAGAACAGCTCTGAGAGAACTTGTGATTGACCCAAGGTCACACCAGCAGCTGCAAGTGGGGAATCAAACCCGGTTCTCCCAGATTAGAGTCCAAGCTCGTAACCACTACACCAAACTGGCTCTCCAAAGGAGTTTTCGAGCAGCTTACAATCTCCTTCCCTTTTCCCTCCCCACAACGGAAACCCTGTGAGGTAGGTGGGGCTGAGAGAGCTCTGAAAGAACTGCTTTTGAGAGAAGAGCTCTGAGAGAATTTGTGACTGGCCCAAGGTCATCCAGCTGGCTGCATGTGGAGGAGTGGGGAATCCAACCCGATTCTCCCTGATTAGAGTCTGCTGCTCTTAAACACTACACCTGGAGAGTCTGGGGTGGAGTAGAGTTGTAGTGTCCCGCCCGTTGGAACTGACACCATCCTATTAAAAAATGTTTTTGACAAAGCTCATTGCAACGCTGAACAAAAACTTTTTGTGCAAAGAATTGTCATCACCCCTCAGGATACCATGCCTTAACCAAGGGGATTCATTGATTTGTGTCATTTAAACCCCCACTTTTCTCCCATGTGGGGATGCAAAGGGGCTTACAACACTCCCTGGTTTGTCCTCACAACGACCCTGCAAGGTGGGTCAGACTGAGAGTGTGTGAGCTGGCCCCAAGTTCGCCAAGCAGGCTCCCATGGCAGAGTGAGAATCCCAGTCTGACACTGTACCAACTCTACCACTACAGCAGTGGTGAAGGGGGAGATTCTTCCTGTGGGTGTTTTGGATCTGAGAATAAGCTGCCATAACTGGTTCTTTGGCCGGACTGCAAACGAGACAGCCTTCAGAATCCATTGTCTGAATGTGGATTGCCTTGAACGTCCTCACAGCACAGCCCATAATGAAGTCGCACTTCTCGAAAGCCGATCTCAGCCACCCAAACGAACGTTATTTAGCATAGAAAACAGAACTTGTTATTCTTCTGATCTTCTTTTTTTAGAGGGAGGGAGGAAAGTTTGCTTTCAACAGTATTCCCTCAGCGGTTCATGCCGATTCTTGCCAGTTTGCCTCTGTCCTTTGGGGCAGTTCAAATGAAGTTCCCGCTACCCCTTGGGTCCTAGCTGGTGGGTTTCGGCTGGCAGCCTTCCCATTTCGGCGGCACCTGGGGAATTTTTTTCAACGTTGTGTCTCTTTTTAGAGAACCATCAAAACCGCCTTGGCAGAAATCTCAAGTGAGGCCCTGTTGGTTCTGTAGATGAAGCTCTGGGGATTTGGAGAGAACTGTTGAGCCGGTGCTCCGGGAGCAATGGGACATCCAAAGCGTTTCAGCCCCCCTCCCCCTACATGAGCCAATAGGGACACGGCTGTCGTATCACATGAAAGCAAAGTTTTGCTGCAGTGGAGTTACTTTTCTAAGTTTGTTAGTGTCGGGCTTTTGATGCACTCTTGCTTCAACACGGCTCCGACACCGATCACCATGGCTAGGAGAGTCGCTCAAACACTTTGCTGGTTCAGCTCACGTCCTTCTGTTTGCCAGTCATGTGTGTGTGTGTGATTTTTCGATGGGCTTTCCGTCTATTTGTTGATCCGTTTGCAGTGGTTTGACAGGTTGTGCCAGCTCCTGCTTTCTAACAATGTGGCGCAGTGCAATCGGATTTTTGTGTACATGTGTTCTCACACCACGTGACAGAGATCTGTTTCCAGCTACCATAGTTGAGTTTCCACTCTACTTGGCCTGCAAATGTTTTAATAACTGTGTGAATCGGTGGTTAAGAGCAGCAGACTCTAATCTGGAGAACTGGGCTTGATTTTCCACTTCTCCGCATGCAGCCCGCTGGGTGACCTTGGGTCAGTCCCAGCTCTCTCAGAGCTGTTCTCTCAAGAGCAGTTCTGGAAAGTGCTTTCTCAGCCCCACCTACCTCACAGGGTGCCTGTTCTGGGGAGGGAAAGGGGATTGTAAGCCACTGAGACTCAAGAGTGAAGGGGCGAGCTATAAATCCAGTCTCCTCCTCCTCCTCCTCTTCTTTCTCCTCAATAAATTATTATGTTACTGGAGTTATGTCCTTTGCACATGTCTAAGCTATCATCCGTAATGGCCAGCCAGCCAGCCATTGGGAAGAAAAATAAAACAAGTCAGCCAAGCCAATGACTTTGGGGAAAACCCGTAAGTGATGTCATCCCTTTCTAGGAATCTTTAGGACCTGCAGCTCAGAAAGGCATAGAGATTCCTTGGTGTAGTGGTTAAGTGTGCAGACTCTAATCTGGGAGAACCGGGTTTGATTCCCCACTCCTCCGCTTGCAGCTTCTGGATGACCTTGGGCAAGCCATAGTTCTGTCAGAGCTGTTCTCTCAAGGACAGTTCTGGAAAGAGCTCTCTCAGCCCCACCTACCTCACAGGGTGTCTGTTGTGGGGAGGGGAAGGGAAAGGAGTTTGTAAGCTGTTCTGAGACTCCTTCACATAGTGAAGGGCAGGGTATAAATCCAATCTCCTCCTCCTCCTTCTCCTATTCTTCTCCTCCTCCTCCTCCTCCTCCTCCTCTTTCTCCTCCTCCTCCTCTAGTTCCCACTACAGCAGCCATTTCAAGGTGGGAACTGCATGCCCACCACAAGTCCAACCAGAGAAGGGTCTTACCCACTTGCCTAGTGGTGCCACATTAGGGAACAGAGCTCAAAAGAACCACTGGTGGCCTTTCAGAAAACCATGTGTGGCTCCTGAGTAGGGTGGCCCACTCTGGTTTGGGGAATCCCCAGAGATTTTGGGGGTGAGTTTGGGGGTGGGAGGGAGCTCAGTGGAAATGCAATGCCATATCTTCCACCCTCTGAAGCTTCCACGTTCTCCGGAGGAACTGATCTCTGGAACCTGGGGATCAGTTCTAATTCCTGGAGGACTCCAGGGCCTACCTGGAGGTGGGCAACCCTATTCCCAAGCCATGTCGTGAGTATTTTGGGGTGTCAGAGCATGGCAATGAGAAGGGGGTAAAGATGCACTGTTTCTGCCCTGCCCTGGGTAGCCCAGGCAAACCCGATCTCGTCAGAGCTCAAAGGAAGTGGTGGCGGCTACAAGCATGGACGGATTCAAAAGGGAATTAGATAAGCATATGGAGCAGAGGTCCATCAGTGGCTATTAGCCACAAGGTATAGATAGGGACTCTGGGGAAAATGATGCTCTGTCATCTTGGTGCTTGGGGGGGTCAACAGTGTCATGGCTTCTAATGTCCTGGCCCCACTGGTGGACCTCCTGATGGCACTGGTATTTCTGGCCACTGTGTGATACAGAGTGTTGGACTGGATGGGCCTTTGGCCTGATCCAACATTGGCATCTCTTATGTTCTTATGTTAAATGTAGCAGAAGACTTGCATCCTGACCAACATATATCATCCTCATATTCCCGAGTCTTTACAACACTTTTCTCAGTGACCAGAACATCCAAAATATTTTTTTAAGCTGGAAAGACTTCACATTTTGTGTGTGCAGACCACATGAGCATTACTCAAGGGCTTAGATTTTTAACCTACTTGTACTCTTCAAAATATTAAAGACAGATTCACACAACCATTTTGAGGAGGCAGTTAGTGAAGAAAGGACATAAAGCGAGAGACTGCTCACTTATTCTGTGAATCTCTCAAACGTGTGTCAACATCACAGTTTAAAAGTATGAAATCCAACTAAGCAGAGATCTGCTAAACCACAGCCCTGAAGCATGACTGAAACATAATATTTATATGATTAACCATGGTTACCTGACTCCAGCTTCAGAAGTCAATGCTAAGGTTCTTTCACTTCAGGGTTTTACGCAAGAGTTTTAGACAGTGAACAGTCTCCTTCATTGAAATTAATGCAAACAGAACTCCCGTGTCTAAGGCTTAAGCTACACAGTACATCTTTTAACGAGCTGGGTCAGGGTTCCCCAGAGCAAATTAGTGCTCCTTGCAGTGGCACAGGAACTGCCTTTTAAAGAGCCGCAAGTGTCTGATTCTGCACAGGACAGTGGTTATGGGGGAAGAAGAAGGGGCCCCTGCCTTTTAACCACCCACAGGTGTTTCTACTTGGGGAAATGGTGCGGGGAGGAGGCAGAAGCACTTCCTCTCCCTATACCATTGTCCCAAACAATGAGATTCTTTACACTAGAAAAAAACAAGAGTTCAAACTGAGACCTCCTGTACTCAAAGCATGTGATCTACCACAAAAGTTGAAGGATGTAGGACTGAAATTCACACCTAGCCCTCAAAACAACTATATATTGATCAACATAGCTGCAGGGATGGTAGAGGAATTTAAGGGCAGTATTATCTCTGCCAAGATTAAACACATTTATCGGACCATTCTTACCTATATTGCATTTTAGATTACTCCACCCAGTTGTCCATCCCAGTGATAAGGTTACATTTGGAAAATGTGATGTGACGGTTTCCAGAAAACCCTTTGCATCTACTGCACAATTACTTCCACTTGGTCCAGGAAGAATGTCTGCATTAATCCAAACAGGTTTCCTGAGTTTTATATCTCCAAGAAGCTTCATCGACGGATTCACAGATGCTAGACTATAAACACAGAAGACCAAATTCATAATGTAGCCACACAGGAAGATGCATACAATACATTTTGCACTCCTCCATATATGGTAGGATTGGTTCAGATAATCCCCACATCATTACCGCCTCCAGTAGCTTTTAAGGATCCTCAGAGTAATGAAGTACCAATACAGGATTGATGATGTAAGGATTGAAAAGTGACTCATACTGAAGTGCAACATGAATGTTAAACAGAATATTACTAAATGTAGTGGGCTGCTGTATGGCTCATGCCCTGTTTTAAAATCTGTTGTTTGCAGTTTTATGTATTCTAGTAAAACACAACTGGAAATTCAGCTAAACCTAAGGCTACTGTGATTTTAAATCAAGCAAAAGCTTGTAAGGCCCTTATAGTAAAAACTGAAGAACTCTCTAAAAATGAGGTTATCTTAACTGAAATATTTAATGATTATGGGATGGATCCAGACAAAAGTGGCAATTTCTACTGATTCCCCTTTCCTGCTTCAGACCTCCCTTATGTTGTTCATCTTCGACGGGGTCTCTGTGCTTCATACCCATGGGATTCAGTGTGCCTGCACTGGATCGATCGGTATTGTAGCAAGCTCTAACGGATTTTCGTGCCCAGACCTCAGGCATGCACAGGAACCCCCAACCACACATGCCCAGAGGGATGGGCGCAGACCTCCCTTATGTTGTTCATCTTCGACGGGGTCTCTGTGCTTCATACCCATGGGATTCAGTGTGCCTGCACTGGATCGATCGGTATTGTAGCAAGCTCTAACGGATTTTCGTGCCCAGACCTCAGGCATGCACAGGAACCCCCAACCACGCATGCCCAGAGGGGTGGGCGCGGACATCCTGCCAGTTCCTTTCTTTCCGCTGCACTGGAAACATCGTTTCTTGGTCAGTGAGATCGGTAGCTATTTTTCCTCAGAGTGACTCTTCGGATTTTATCCAGTCAACCTCTTTTTATCATCTTCCTTCTGTTTTTTGTTCTTATATCTAAAGAAAAAAGAAAAAAGAAAATAACTTTTTGAGGGGGAGGTCTTTACCTCAGTTTGGCCTTTGGCCTCCCCCCACTTTATTTCTTTCCCCCCCTTTTCCTCTCTTCTCTGTTTTGCTTATTTTATGGAGAAAAAGTGGGGCTTTTTTGTACTGGGTGTGGCAGTAAGCTAGCTCCGCCTGACGGGCACACCCTTTGTATTTTTTGCCTCTGTGAGACACACCGCCCAGAATCTTGCCAACACTGTGCCAAGCTTTCCAATAGAACTAGGAAAAATCGAGCGGTGTGTCTCAGAGTTGCTTTGCTGGAATCGGCACTCAACCCCGCTTCCGGCATGGATCCAGATGTAACTGTGAGACCATTGACATTGATGGCTCCAGCATCAAAGTCTTCGTCGGACATCATCCAGTAGACATCGAAGCATCCGGCACCGACAGCACAGTCGAAGGAGAAATCACGTAAAGACCACAAGTCCGCCAAAAAGGGTTCCTCTAAGCCCCTGAAGATGGCGAAGTCCGGAAAAGTCACGGGTTCTGCACCAGGTATTGCCCCTAAGGTGCCCCCCGTTCCTACGACTGTATCGGCATCAGAGGCTCAGGTCGCTCCACCGATACCGACCATCCAACTGCTGGACTCTCCTATACACCAGCTAGACCATGATATGCTGGCGGACATACGTCCTTTCTCCGACATCGAGATTGTGGAGATCCTCAGCCGTTCCTTGGTCAGGGATCGTTCTCCCTCTCAGTCATCGGCATCGCCACTCTTGGAGTTCCATGCCGATATCGGTACAGGTCGGCATCGACAGATCCCATCCGACACCCAACGTCATCCCCCCGTCTTTTTGCCGAAGATCGGCCTTTTGATATCAACAAGCAGGCTGATAAAGGATGCTCCCAGAGACGAGAAACTTCACTATCTCCCAGACACCCCCGCTCCAGGAGTAGATCGCCATGGGTTTTTCTGCACTCACCGCCTCCTGCTCTCTCCTGGGATCACCGTCAGATGCGCTATCTCTATGGGGCTTATCCACCGGCGTCCATGCCCTGGCTCACGCCAGCAGCTTATTCAGATTGGGATCGTTATTCTGCACATAGATCGCGGTCCCCCCACAGATCGAGACCGACACCCTCTGCATCTCTTTCTCGTCCTCCCGACCGTCCATCTGAAGACCTTCCTAGACATCGACCGGATCAATATCGACCACCTAGTCCCTCTATTCCAACTCCGTCGATCCCGATGCCAACCAGTCAAGTGGAAGCCACTCCTGTACAATTACCAGACCCCGATTCCTCAGATTCCACAGATGACGATTCCGACACGGGGGTTTCAGATGTCCACAGCTCGCCTGACTAGCCATCTCCTAAAGAGGCAGTGGCAGATGACCAACCTATATCTCCACCAGAAAACCTATCTTCTTACAGAGACCTCATTAAAAGAATGGCCCACTCCCTTGGCCTTTCCGTCGTACAGCCTCAACCATTGGTTACAGATGTTGTATTCGATGTTGTACAATTAGATACATCGACATCTATAGTGTTGCCCATGTCTACAGTCCTGTTACAGGCGACTAAAACGCCGTGGGATAAACCTTCATCGGCTCTAGTGTCCACACGCCGCATGGACCATATGTACAGAGTCCAGGAAGCAGGAGCGGAATTCTTGTTCACCCAACCTCAACCAAACTCAATGGTAGTTACTTCCTCATCCAAGTCGAAGAAAATCCATTCTGCCCCTTCAGACAGGGAGAGCAGAAAGCTAGATGCATTTAGCCGATGGTTCTACTCCACGGGAGCGCTCGGCATGAAGACCACAAATTATTTAGCCTGTATTAGTAGTTAACAATATACCTTATGGGAAAAGCTTTCTGAAATGTTAGCAACCCTTCCAGATGATAAGCATCAGTTAGCCCGTATCATCCAAAAGGAGGGCATGGTGCTGGCAAAACCAACAAATTAATACTTCTAAGCATGCATTAGACACCTGCTCAAGGGCATCGTTCTCCGAAGACACTCATGGCTACGCAACACCAATTTGCAGCCGGATACCAGGGCATATGTAGAAGACCTCCCCTTCGATGGCCTTGGTCTTTTTAATAGCATCAAAGACACCATATTGCAAGATATGCACAAAAGCATAAAGGCCTCTCGTACTCTGGGCATTTCTTCCTCCACGAGACAACAATACCAGCCTCGTCCTTGGTCCAGACCCTGGCAAAAATGTACCCCAAACTGCCGGCGGTTGAGCGGCAGTGGAGGCCACGTACATCCTCTGGAGGCCAAAAGCCAACATTTCAGAAACCTAGATTCGGATTGGGACAACAACCCCCCCGCTATAAGCAGGCTAAGTCCACAAAGCAGAGTTTTTGACTTCCATGTTCTCCAGTCACATCCCACCCGTCTAACCCCTTTTCTCCAAACTTGGCACCTCATCACCACAGACGAATGGGTGCTGTCCATCTTGACCCATGGCTCCAGTCTTCGTTATTACAGCCTCTTCATCAGCTCTTCTGGAGGAGGTGTCTGTCCTTCTGCGCAAGGGAGCTATCAAGCCGGTGCCACTTCACCAACACAGCACGGGATTCTATTCCCATTATTTCACTGTTCCAAAGCGGGATGGAGGTGTTCAACCAATCTTAGATCTAAGGGCGCTCAACTGCTTTGTGCGTTACCGTCGTTTCCGCATGGTGTCCTTGCAGCAGATCCTACCACTTCTATAAAGAACGTCTGGATGGCCACTTTGGATCTCCAAGACACGTACTTCCACCTCACCATCCACCCATCCCACCGCCAATACCTACGGTTTGCTATTGGCCAACATCGCTACCAATACGCAGCTCTGCCATTCGGTCTCTCAAGTGCACCGAGAGTGTTCACAACGACAATGGTGGTGGTCGCGGCCTTCCTCCGTCTCAGGGGTATCTCCATTTACCCATACATCGACGATTGGCTACTAGTTGCAACTTCCCAAGACGCCCTACTCTCCCACATCAACGAGACACTGACCCTCCTGGAAACCATGGGGCTACAGGTAAATCTCAAGAAGTCTCAACTTCAACCGGTCCAGAAAATAAACTACATTGGCGCACTACTGGACTCCATAAATTGCAGAGTCTACTTACCGCAGAGCAGGGCCGCGGACATTATCAATCTAGCCACCGTGATGCATGCTCAACCCTCGGTAACGGCTTTTCAAATACAGAGATTCCTCGGCCTGATGGCCGCTACTACATCCGTCCTGGTCTTTGCCAAATTGAGAATGCACCACCTACAACTTTGGTTTATTCGCAATTTTAATCCAGAACGAGACCCACACTATACCCTCCTATCCCCACCTCCCAAAATATGGGACTCTCTACTTTGGTGGACTGCCCCCTCCAACCTCTTCTGGGGAGCACCCTTCCACCCTCCATCACCAGAGATCACCCTGACGACAGATGCATCTCTCTCAGGTTGGGGTGCCCATCTGATAGGACTCTGTGTCGGCATCAGATGGGACACACAGAAGCGGAAATGTCACATCAATTTTCTGGAGCTACTTGCGATACAGTTCACTATCACCAGTTTTCTGCCTCTGATCAGGGGGAAGAGTGTCACGGTCCTTACGGACAATACTACTGCCCTCAGCTACATAAACAGACAGGGGGCACTGTCTCTCAACACCTCTGTGAACTGGCTATTCAGTTGTGGGACTGCATCGCCCACAACATCTTCCTAATTGCCACCCACATACCGGGGCATATGAATGTGCAGGCAGACCAACTGAGTCGGGGAGGACTTCGTCTGCATGAATAGGAAATGAATCCTATATACCTACTCCCAGTCTTCCACCAGTGCGAACAAAAAGTGTCCTCTGTTCTGCAGCTGAGGAGGTAGAGACCCGCAGTCTTTAGGGGATGGTCTCCTCTACCCATGGTCCAGGGACTTCCTCTTTCCCCCGCTGCCTCTGCTTCCAAGAGTGGTGTGCAAAATCATCAGCGAGAAGGCGGATTGCATCCTCATATCCCCGTGGTGGCCGAGACAGCCATGGTTCTCAACCATATTGGACCTGTCAGCAGGATGAGTCTGGACTGTCACATTCCTCGTTGAAAGTTTATTTGGCTGCACTTTCAGCCTACCACGTTCAAGTTGAGGGATGCACACTTTTTTCGCATCCTCTTTCTAAACATTTTTTGAAGGGACTGTTACACCTTTATCCTCCTGTCAGACGTCCTGTGGACCCCTGGGATCTTCCCCTGATACTTCGCCAACTCACCAGGAAACCTTTTGAGCTACTCGCAACTTGCGAGTTGAAATTGCTGTTGTGGAAAACAGCTTTTCTGGTGGCACTTCGGCAAGGCGAGTCGGGGAAATACTGGCGTTCAGACATGATCCGCCTTACCTGTCATTTTTGCTGGATGGTGTCCGTCTTGTTCCTGACATCTCGTTCTTGCCAAAGGTAGTTTCAGAATTTCATCTCTGGGCAGAGGTCTTCCTTCTGAATTTCTTCCCCTCTCCGACATCCCTGGAGGAGAGACTGTTACACACATTGGATACAAAGTGTGCACTCCTATTCTACCTACAGAGAACTTGTCCGACGAGAGGTGACTGTCAGCTGTTCGTTTCCTATGCTCCGGCCAAACTGGGAACTTGTATCACGGCTCAGCGTTTGTCAAGGTGGATTGTAGGTCTCATCCGCCTCTGCTATCTTATTGCTAAACAGCCGTTGCCTGGCCCTATCAGGGCTCATTCTACTCGAGCTGTCGCAGCCTCAACTGCTTTCCTTCAGGGAGTTCCCCTACTGGACATTTGCAGAGCCACTACCTGGGCTACGCCTAATACGTTCATAAGGCACTACGCCCTTGATGTCCACAAGAACTCTCGTACCAACATGGGATGTCACATCTTATCTTTGGCTTCGCAGTAAAGACCTGCCAGCACCCTCCTCCAGGTAGGCCACTGCTTGCTAATCTCCCATGGGTGTGAAGCACAGAGACCACGTCGAAGATAAACAGGTTGCTTACCTGTAACTGGTGATCTTCAAGTAGTCATCTGTGCATTCACACCACCCGCCCTCCTTCCCCACTGCTGTCAGCTTCTATGTTTTATTGACGTTGATTTGCGGCCGTCTGAAGGAACTGGCAGGATGTCTGTGCCCACCCCTCTGGGCATGCGTGGTTGGGGGTTCCTGCGCATGCCTGAGGTCTGGGTGCAAAAATCCGTTAGAGCTTGCTACAATATCGATCGATCCAGCGCACGCGCACTGAATCCCATGGGTGTGAATGCACAGATGACCACTCGAAGATCACCAGTTACAGGTAAGCAACCTGTTTTTCAGTGTCTCTTGTCCTCCAGAAGCAGCACTTTATGAAGATCAATGACCTACAGTAGGAGATAGGGGAAGCAGATATTTTCCATTCTACAGTTGGGAAAATATAATCTGGATCCAGGCCACTGTATCCTAAAATACATTACAACACTGGTATATAGATTAATTACTGCTGATTTAAAATGTGTTAGCAATTTCTAGTGTTAGAAGAACATTAAACTAATATTTTAGGATAGTACTTAATGTTATAATAGAGCCAGTTCACACATTAAAAATCTACACAGTGAACCCATGCACTCTCAACAGACAAGTGACTCAAATTCTGTGCTGGGAGTTTAATTCCCAGGCGCATGAGGGGAGGGAGGCAATTTGGACTGGGACTGCAGCATGCATGAAAAAACAGCTGAAGCCTTCCCCTCTCTGTGCTGGTTCACTGACCTAAAATAACTCGGGAGCGGCTATTTGACCCACTGGGGAAGTCTAAGCATAGCCATCGGTATTTTTATTTTATTTACTTCATTTATACCCTGCCTTTCCCTCAAATGGGGTCCCAAAGTGGCTTACAGCATTTTCACCTCCATTCTATCCTCACAACAACCCTGAGACCCTCCATTCTATCCTCACAACCCTCACAACAACTAGGCTGAGACTGCATGACAGGCATCAAACAAGCCTCCATGGCAGAGTGGGGATTTGAATCTGGATCGCCCAGATTCTAGGTCCAGCCCTTGAACCACAACACCATACTGGCTCTCAGTCAGGGGTCATTTTGTAGAAAAAGAGATGCAGGAGCTCATTAGCATAATTTCTTTGCATATGCCACACCCCCTGGCATCACCGGAAGTGTGTCAAAAGGCAACACCCACCACTCAGGCTCCACCCCCAAAATCTCCAGCCTCGTGGGGCCAGGGGTGGGGAACGAGGATGCCCAGCAAGTAGAATCACACTAACCCCCAAAATAGCTCTCCCTAAAAAGAAGAAGAGATTGGATTTATACCCCGCCCTTCACTACCCAAAGGAGTCTCAGAGCGGCTTACAATCCCTTTCCCTTCCCCTCCCCACAACAGACACCCTGTGAGGTAGGTGGTACTGAGAGAGCTCTTTCCAGAACTGCCCTTGAGAGAACAGCTCCGAGAGAACTTGTGACTGACCCAAGGTCACACCAGCAGCTGTAAGTGGAGGAGTGGGGAATCAAACTCAGTTCTCCCAGATCAGAGTCCGCACACTTAACCACTACACCAAAAACAGAAAACCACTTTGGCTTTTCCACTTACATAGCTTCATACTGGCCAAACTGAATCACACCAGACAGGTTTAAATTTAACAAGCGATGTTGCATACATTGCTCAAGAATGCTTTTGGTTTGCTGTCAATCCACTAGGCATTATACATAATTGTTCAACTGCTGAGTAATAGCAGTTGTTTTGCAAAATGTTTATGATTCCATTACAAATAAAAAAACTATTGAGAAGAGGGGAAAAGATTTTTCAGAGCATGATAGAGGAGCTCCTAATTTAGAGTTCATAGCATCTTAACATGCAGTATGGGGTTGTGCTGCAGACTGCAGTGACATACATACAAAAATGTACACATAAGAAATTTATATATACATATGACCAGATGTTGTTTTCTTATATGCTTTTGCATTTGCAATTGCTACAAGTTTGTATTGTAGGCTATAAATCGTAGGCCCTAAATAGTAGTCGTATCAATTTTTCAGATTATTCTGGTGTCAAAGATTCCATTAGTCAGGATGTGTGTCACTTCCATCAAAGGTAGTAGTCTAGCAACTAGTCACTTCCATCAAAGGTAGTAGTCTAGCCCCACGAGGGAAAGGAGGCGAATACCTGACGCCGCCTTTTAGCCCTCCTTAGGAGGCCACTCGGAGAGGGTCCCTCATCACCTCTGTTCTCTCCCCCTCCCAAATCCTCCGACCACTCCAGAGCAAACTAATTTCTGCAGCAGTCCTCCTGCTGCCCCCAGACTCCATTTGTGATCCCAGGAGGGATGAGGCCTCTCCCTTCCTCCCTTGTTTGGAGGAGCTGGCCTGATCCTGTTCTCTCCCTCCCCCATCCTCCGAGCACTCCAGAGCAAACTAATTTCTGCAGCAGCCAAATCGCTCGCTCACAATTTTAAGGCCAGTAGCTCACCAAGTAGGATTTTTGCTCACAGCCCTCCGCAGCTTAGAGGGGTATAAGCAACCGGCTCCCCGGCTGCCCCCAGACTCCGTTTGTGATCCCAGGAGTGATCCGGCCCACCCCTCCCTCCCTACGGAAAAGCTGGCCTGATCCTGTTCTCTCCCCCCCCATCCTCCAAGCACTCCAGAGCAAACTAGTTTCTGCAGCAGCCAAATTGCTCGCTCACAATTTTAAGGCCAGTAGCTCACCAAGTAGGATTTTTGCTCACAGCCCTCCACAGCTTAGAGGGGGTATAAGCGACTGGCTCCCCTGCTGCTCCCAGACTCAGTTTGTGATACCAGGAGGGATCTGGCCCGCCCCTCCCTCCGGAGGAGGAGCTGACCTGATCCTGTTCCCCCCCATCCTCCAAGCGCTCCAGAACAAACTAATTTCTGCAGCAGCCAAATTGTTCTATGAGCCCTACGCGGCTGAGGGGGAGGGGCAGGCATGTTTACTGCCGAAGCGTTGCTCCGGCGTGCTCTGGGCCAAAATGAGGCCTGCTCTCAGTACATCTTAGCTTCCCCAAAGATGCAAACAGTGCACCCTCAGGCCATTTCAGTTTAGGAAAATGGTTGTGGGGAGAACACTTTCTTTGTATGTCCTGTGGCCCTGACCTGAAGTGGGACCCCACACACCTGGAATTGCACAGAATTGGTAGATACTTATTTATACTGGGAAATCTCTATACAGTTTCCCCTTTACCTTTTAAAATCAAGCTTGATACCCTTGCTAGTATTTGTAACCTCGTTTAGCCACTCCTTTAGTGTAATATCACTGTTGGTTTCAGGTGGGTGAGCCATGATTGGTTCACCATTGCCATCTCCTCCACGAAGAAAAACATCTGCCTCTATCATGTGAGCTGTACCTGTTTAGTTACAAAAAGATAAAGAAAAAAAGCTTAGTCAGATAACTTTGCCTTCCTGTATAGAACAGAATAACTCATCTCCGACGTGGTCTCTGTGCTTCACACCCATGGGATCTAGTGCACACGCACTGGATCGATCAGCACTGTAGCAAGCTCTTTAACGGATTTTCGCGCCCAGTCCCTCGAGCATGCACAGGAACCACACCGCGCACGCCCAGAGGGGTGGGCACGGACATCCCGCCAGTTCCTTTCTTACCGCTGCGTTGGAAAGACCTTTTTCTTCGGTCTGATCGGTTCGTGTGTTTTGGCTTTTTGTCTCACGTCCCGTGGAGGTGGTGGTACCTGTTCAATGGCTCCCTTCTGCAGAAGGATGGACATGTTTTCACATCCACTTTCGAAACGGTTTTAAAAGGTTTGTTACACCTCTACCCTCCTGTCAAGACTCCTGTCGCTCCCTGGGATCTTCCTCTAGTCCTTCATCAACTTACGAGGAAACCCTTTGAGCCACTCGCAACTTGCGATATGAAATTCCTGTCTTGGAAGACGGCCTTTCTAGTGGCCATCACCTCTGCAAGGCGAGTTGGAGAAATACTGGCTTTCCGGCATGACACGCCTTATTTGTCATTCTTGCCAGACAGCGTCCACCTCGTACCAGACATCTCCTTCCTGCCGAAGGTGGTGTCAGAGTTCCACCTGCGGGCGGAGGTCTTCCTCCCAGATTTCTTCCCAGCTCCGAAATCCCCAGAGGACAGACTGTTACATACCTTGGATGTCAAAAGGGCACTACTGTTCTACCTCAACAGAACCCGCCCAACGAGACATGACTCCCAACTGTTCATCTCATACGCACCAGCGAGGCTGGGGACTCACATCACGGCTCAAGGCCTCTCAAAGTGGATTGCGGGTCTCATCCACCTCTGCTACTTGATTGCAAAGCAGCCGTTGCCTGGCCCCATCAATACCCATTCAACCGGGGCTGTTGCGGCTTCCACTGCCTTCCTCCAGGGAGTACCCCTGACGGACATCTGTAAGGCTGCTACCTGGGCCACGCCTAACACCTTCATGAGGCATTACGCCCTGGACGTCCGTAAGAACTCTAATACCAACATGGGACGTCACATTCTATCTTTGGCGATGCAGTAAGGACCTGCCAGCATCCTCCTCCAGGTAGGCCACTGCTTGCTAATCTCCCATGGGTGTGAAGCACAGAGACCACGTCGAAGAAAAACAGGTTGCTTACCTGTAACTGATGATCTTCGAGTGGTCATCTGCATTCACACCTCCTTCCCCGCTGCTGTCAGCGTCTACATTTTCAATAGGGGTTGATTTGTGGCGGTTCGAAGGAACTGGCGGGATGCACCCCTCTGGGCATGCGCGGTGGGGTTCCTGCGCATGCCCGAGGGACTGGGTGCGAAAATCCGTTAAAGAGCTTGCTACAATGCCGATCGATCCAGCGCATGCGCACTAGATCCCATGGGTGTGAATGCACAGATGACCACTCGAAGATCATCAGTTACAGGTAAGCAACCTGTTTTTTTCATTTGTTTAGTAGTTACAGTGTCAGACTCGGATCTGGGAGACTCAGGTTTGAACCTGCCATGGAAGCCTGCTGGGTGACCTTGGGCCAAACACATACTCTCAGCCTAACGTACCTTGCAGGGATGTTGTGAGGATAAAATGGAGGAGAAGGGAATGCTATAAGGTGCTTTGAGGCCCCACTGGGGACAAAGGCAAGATTTAAATTAAGTAAACAAATAAATAAATACCCCGAATAGTGGTCAGTGTGTTCAGTTATGTTTGCAAATGTATTGTGAATATTCTGTTTTCATTCAGCTATTCTGTTTTCTAAGGAAGAACAATATTTTTGTCTCATTTTAAAAATAGAAAGGTAGATTGAATGAGTGAAGAAAGTCATTTTAGATCTAGAGACATGGAAATTGATGGCTGCTGGTATGAAGTTGAGCAAACTCCGGAGGATGATGGAGGACAGGAGGGCCTGGTGTGATGTGGTCCATGGGGTCGCAAAGACTCAGACTACTGTGCGTCTGAACAACAAAACCAACACAAGATATGTTTGTTACAAGTGAATTCATAACCCAAGGGAAGTGTGTTGCCTGGTAGCAAGTGGTCCATTTGGATGTCACAGCCAGGTTTAAGAGCTCCATGTTATTGGCTGGCTGCCTGCCATGGGCTTAGCAGATCCAATATCATAGTAGGGCAGGGTAGACTATTTTCCCTTATCATTCAGCACTACATGTCCTGGTACTTCCCAATTCATTAAACATTTCCATCTCACAGAAGAAAATAAGATGCACTAGAATTCCTTGGCCATAGTCCCTATGAAAAAGTGAATTACCCGTATTTTTCGGACCATAAGACGCACCTGACCTTAAGACGCACCTAGTTTTTAAAGGAGGAAAACAGGGAAAAAAATATTCTGAACCTTCTGAACCTCCCACTTTTTTTGGAAGAAAAAGTGAGTCTTATGGTCCAAAAAATACGGTAATTCATCACATACAAAAAGCATACAGAGCAGACCATAATAGAGAAAATGCAATGCCTCCACAATCCCCCCCCCTTAAATTTATAAAGAATCTTAGTGGATTAATCCGTAAGAACCAAACACATTCACAGAAAAACAATACTTTGGGGGTGCGTTGTTACAAAGCAAACTTTTTGGTTAGAGACAATTCTTTAAGACCAGTGTCACAAACACCTATGCTGCTTAAATCCCTTTCAATTCAGTGGGATGTCAGGAGTCTAACTATGTACAGGAATGCAGCCAAAGATTTCCTAGAGTACAACTGGAATATATCTTGCACAAGCTGCAGTGAAATTAGTAAGAGCTCACTAGAGCATTTGCCTAAATTAAACAACATTTGTCGGAAAGCATTCCTGATGTCTTTTACCTAGGGTTGCCAGCACCCTCCTGGCAACCAGCAGGGGATGGGGGGGGGGCTTACCAGGAGCAGGAGGGAGGCCCAGCACTTCCAATGTGACCCGGAGGTGATGTCAACATGCAGCGATGTTGGGGCAATGTTCTGGTATTTGGGAAAAATTTATGGTAAATCTGGTTTCTACCGCAGAGTTTTTGCCCAAATACCAGCGCATTGCCCTGACGCTGCCGATGTGATGATATCACTTCCAGGTCACACTGGAAGTGACGTAGACACACTGCTGCAATGTCGACTGGGCCTTGCTCTTTTTCCGGGTAAGTCCCCTCCACTGGCCAGCTGATCAGCAGCGGGGTGGTAGGGCCTGGTGCTGGTGGACCCCTGCCTCCACTGGAGGGTCTGGCAACCCTACTTTTACCTAGCTTTTCGTTTCAGATATTCGAATCCAAATTCTTTGGTCAAATATTAAACATATGAAAATCTTCATGCACTTATACAAATTAGGGTTTTTTTCAATTTTTAATATATATTTCAGCATTGGGAGCTACACAATATAAAGAATAGGAATTACAATAAACAACTGTGTCAGCCAATAACTATGCAGCAAAAAATAACACAATTATTTATTAACTATACAGTCTGAAGCTACCATATCCTCACCTCAGTTTTTATTTTGTCATAATTGGATCATTGCAGCTACTTGCTCATGCTCTTGGGCCATTAAATAGGCTCATACATTTACATTTATTTCCCCAGTGCGATGTTAAGAAATAAACCTCACTGAATAAACCTGAATAGCATTCCGAGTAGACGGGGTTGCCAGCTCTGGGTTGGGAGTGGAGATTTTGGGAGTGGAACCTGAGAAAGGTGGGGTTTGGGGAGGGGAGGACTTCAGTGGGATATAATGCCACAGAGTCCACTTTCCAAAGTGGCCATTTTCTCCAAGTGAACTGATCTCTGTCACCTGGAGACCAGTTGTAATCCCAGGAGATCACCCACCACCTGGAGGTTGGCAGCCCTATGAGAAGACCTGCTTGGGATGATAATGTAAGGTTTTGGTTGATGCATACATCAGCACAACTTCAGTCGCTGTTTCTATTAGACACACAATTATTTAATTAATTTATATCCCACCTTTTCCCCCCAATGGGGACCCAAAGCAGCTTACATAATTCTCTTCTCCATTTTATCTTCACAACAACCCTGTGAGGTAGGTTAAGCTGAGATACCGTGACTAGCCCAAGGTCACCCAGCAACCTTCCATGGCATGTGTGGGGATTCAAACCTGGGTCTCACAGTTATGAGTCCGACACTCTTAACCACTAACTGCTCCAGGGCTTCTTCTCCATATGACACAATGCCTCAGATCTGGATGCATTTCAACAGCATGCTGCACGCAACTACAAACAGTGACTGTCTTTGGAAATGTTGCTTAGCACATGAAGTACTATCAGAGTTTGAGGGTTTGGTCTCTAACCGTGCAGACTAGAAATGCATTTTTTCTGGTGACAAAACAGGATGCCATGTAACATTTATGACTAGATTACTACAAAAACAAAACAGCCTCTCTTCTTCCAACAAGCCAACTATAATGCTAGTGTATTTCAGCTTTTCTGCAATAATTGCTTCTGTACTATGCTGTTCAATTAAAATCAAGCCTTTACAATTCATATATTTTCAAATATACTTTCCAATAGATACTCACTTTGTATTGCCTCTGTCATTTGCAACTTACTGTTTGCTGCATGATACCACAGGATTTCAGCTCCATCTCTTGTTTTAATTTGCTTAGTATTCAGGAAATAATCCAATATATTTTCACTCCAAGAGCCTGCATTTAGAACGTTAGTGTGGATAAATATTCATGACAGAAAGCTTCAAACTGCTTATTAAACCACATTTATATGTGCTGTGAGACTGGAACAACCATTGGTTACTCACCATGAAGGGTCCTTCTCCTCTGAGGTGGAGGACATCTTGTGGGTGATTCCCATCCATCACTTAGGGAGGCAGGACTAATTTCAATTACTTCCTGTTTCCTGTAGTGGGAGTCACCCTAGGCTCAGTTCTGGTGCTCCAAAAGCAATACACTAATGACGACGTCCGGTTTATGGCGGCGCACTAGCAGACTCACCTCCCGGACCTCCCGGGGGTGAAGCTGCACTCCAGCCGAAGAAGGGGGTGCGCAGGCTTGCAAAAAAAACCCAGGGGCCCGGCGAAGGGACCCTGGCCATGGAACTTATAAGAGGTTGCCTCTTCAAGGGTGGAATGCCTGAGAATTGAGGCGCCTCTTCGTTCCGACGGTTCTCCGTGCTGTGAGACCGAATGGGCTTAGCGACACTGACTGGGCCAAGCGCAGGAGATCATGCGGCAGAAAAGAAATAAAAGCGAGGTCAAATGACCGATTATGAAT